AGATGCCATAAAAAATAGATTTTTCTTCATAGTGCAGTTACTTTAAAAAATTATGTTATATAGAAAAGATGGAAAAGTTTCATTATCGTGTTAGGCTACAACTGAACGGTGATGACATAGGAGGCAGGTGAAGAACTGCAACTGATCATAAAATCTCTGACTTCAAACCTTGTGGTGACACTGAATAAGCAGCTGACTGAGGATCTCAAATGAAGCTAACTGATGCTACAAATCAAGAGAGAATATACAGTAAAAAGATAAAGACACTTCCAGAAACAACAGTTGAGAGGAACTGTTGAGTCCGAGTCCAAGTCGAGACCAAGAAAAGCTTTAGATCAAACTGCATCTCTGCAGAAAAGCAAAAAGCCTCCACATGAGGGTGTAGCTGACACAGGAAGGTGGTGCAGCTTTCACTGTGCAGAGGCGATGCACAAACAGGGTCGACATGAAGGGGCCATCAAAAGGAAACCTCAGCCGCAGGACACTATGCACCGGCAGAGGGAAGAATGGGGTGCACTAAATAACAGCAGACTCAGGATCAGATGTCCTGCAGTCAGGCAGGAAAATGAAACAAGTCTTTAATACCAGCACCATGATCCAAAGCAGACCACAAAATCCACCATGACCCGCTTCAGTTTCTTGACCTGAACCCCAGCAAAAGCCTGTGGTGTGTGAAGACATCTCATTCGAAGTGAATGTATAAAGAAGGACTGGGACTCAAGAATTTACACTGTTGTACTTGGATTATGCTCTGTAGGTTTTACTTACAGCGGCTGACAAGAAGCCTCTGACATACAACTATCTGTACAGTGCCTTGCGAAAGTATTCAGCCCCCTTGAACTTTGCGACCTTTTGCCACATTTCAGGCTTCAAACATAAAGATATAAAACTGTAATTTTTTGTGAAGAATCAACAAGTGGGACACAATCATGAAGTGGAACGAAATTTATTGGATATTTCAAACTTTTTTAACAAATAAAAAACTGAATAATTGGGCGTGCAAAATTATTCAGCCCCTTTACTTTCAGTGCAGCAAACTCTCTCCAGAAGTTCAGTGAGGATCTCTGAATGATCCAATGTTGACCTAAATGACTAATGATGATAAATAGAATCCACCTGTGTGTAATCAAGTCTCCGTATAAATGCACCTGCACTGTGATAGTCTCAGAGGTCTGTTTAAAGCGCAGAGAGCATCATGAAGAACAAGGAACACACCAGGCAGGTCCGAGATACTGTTGTGGAGAAGTTTAAAGCCGGATTTGGATACAAAAAGATTTCCCAAGCTTTAAACATCCCAAGGAGCACTGTGCAAGCGATAATATTGAAATGGAAGGAGTATCAGACCACTGCAAATCTACCAAGACCTGGCCGTCCCTCTAAACTTTCAGCTCATACAAGGAGAAGACTGATCAGAGATGCAGCCAAGAGGCCCATGATCACTCTGGATGAACTGCAGAGATCTACAGCTGAGGTGGGAGACTCTGTCCATAGGACAACAATCAGTCGTATACTGCACAAATCTGGCCTTTATGGAAGAGTGGCAAGAAGAAAGCCATTTCTTAAAGATATCCATAAAAAGTGTCGTTTAAAGTTTGCCACAAGCCACCTGGGAGACACACCAAACATGTGGAAGAAGGTGCTCTGGTCAGATGAAACCAAAATCGAACTTTTTGGCAACAATGCAAAATGTTATGTTTGGCGTAAAAGCAACACAGCTCATCACCTTGAACACACCATCCCCACTGTCAAACATGGTGGTGGCAGCATCCTGGTTTGGGCCTGCTTTTCTTCAGCAGGGACAGGGAAGATGGTTAAAATTGATGGGAAGATGGATGGAGCCAAATACAGGACCATTCTGGAAGGAAACCTGATGGAGTCTGCAAAAGACCTGAGACTGGGACGGAGATTTGTCTTCCAACAAGACAATGATCCAAAACATAAAGCCAAATCTACAATGGAATGGTTCACAAATAAACATATCCAGGTGTTAGAATGGCCAAGTCAAAGTCCAGACCTGAATCCAATCGAGAATCTGTGGAAAGAACTGAAAACTGCTGTTCACAAACGCTCTCTATCCAACCTCACTGAGCTCGAGCTGTTTTGCAAGGAGGAATGGGCAAAAATTTCCGTCTCTCGATGTGCAAAACTGATAGAGACATACCCCAAGTGACTTACAGCTGTAATCGCAGCAAAAGGTGGCGCTACAAAGTATTAACTTAAGGGGGCTGAATAATTTTGCACGCCCAATTTTTCAGTTTTTTATTTGTTAAAAAAGTTTGACATATCCAATAAATTTCGTTCCACTTCATGATTGTGTCCCACTTGTTGTTGATTCTTCACAAAAAATTACAGTTTTATATCTTTATGTTTGAAGCCTGAAATGTGGCAAAAGGTCGCAAAGTTCAAGGGGGCCGAATACTTTCGCAAGGCACTGTATCATCTGCCTCATACCTCATGTGGCAGCCCTGACTCTGTGGACTCCTAATAAAAAACTGGGGCTGCATTGAGTTGCAAAGAAGGCAATGAACATCTAGTCGAGGTCACATCCAAAATAGTCCTGTCCCTGAGGTAAGCATGTAGTCCTTATGTTAACCTGTGGGTCAGTTTTCTGGCATACAGACACAAGCAACAGTGAAACATGCTGGGATGCAACTGGGAAGAATCTGCAAATATATTAAAATTTGGTTTAAAAGAACAATTAAAGAAATGATTGAGGTGATGACTTAAAATCATCCAACAAGAATATCTCCAAACCTGAATCTGGAGGAGGAGGCTGAAACCATCAAGAGAAGAAAGTTAGGACTTAAAAGAAAGGCTCATTTTAATGTTGGTTTGTTGCAGGACTCGGCTTCACTTCACCTCGAAAATCGCAACTTTCCCTCGGGGGGACTGACACATTCATATTTCTGTCTCATCACACGTTCAGGTTATGTTTCCGCTCCAAAGGCATTGTATTTTCAGGCTGTCCGTCCATCTCATTCTTGTAAACACAGAACACCTTAGAAAATTTCTTCAAATTTGGCACAAATTTCCATCTGGACTTAAAGAGCCCACAGCGCTTTTCCTTGTTTTCTGACTTATGTACAATGTTACAACGGTGAATTATCATCTTAAATGTGGCCTAAAATGAGGTGAATGTACAGTGTGTTCTAGTATTCCTTTGCAGTCTGTTTAAACTCTGTTTACACACGTCTCGCAGATTTTGGTGGTCAAAGTCAGTGACCAGCACATCTGTACAGTTCCTATGAATTTGACTTTGTCGGAGGGATACGACTTCTAGATTTCCCTCTGATGTTGAATCAGATTAACAAACATCTAATCAGTTTTTTTAAATTAAACTGTAGGAAATATTAAAATAATCTACAAGTTTAAATTTTGCAGCCTGAATATTCATGTTTGTTGTGTTACAATTAAAGTGCTGATTTTTATGTCTGGTTTCAGGTTTTACTTGGAGCCTGGGCATTTGTTCAGAGCAGTAAAACCCAAGGCTGCTGCGCCTTCAGGAGCCAGGTGAGCCAACAGTACCTGTCTGTGGACCGCGAGCCAGGGTGGGACATGTAAGGTTATGTGCATCCATTTAGGCTTCGACACCCTCACACTACTACAAGTTCACCCCTGGCACAAGTTAAGCCTGCTAGTCACCTCCTAATACAAGTTAGGTCCACCTGTGGCTCAAGGTTAGGTGGAGTGTTTAGGGGTGTCTGGATGCATCATGTTCAGCCCGTCTTGCAGTCCACAGACAGACCCCTATCAGTATCCAGATGTTGTATCATTACTACAGATCTCCTTAACCAGATGTGTTGTGTTAGATGTTTAGATTAAACTTTGTCATTACACATGTATAAGGCAACGAAATACAGCTCAGCATCTAACCAGAAGTGCAATAACAGCAGTGCAGAGTGCACAGTATCTACAGTCTGTAGAGTCAGACTGTGGTTCAGTGGGTAGCAAAGTTGTCTCCCAACCGGAGCGTCAGAGGTTCAAATCTCGGTGCCTGCAGTCCACATGTCAAAGTGTCCTTGGGCAAGACACTGAACCCCCAAGTTGCCCCCGATGGTTAGAGCCGTCGGTTGAGTTGGTGCTGCAGATGGCTGCCATCGGTTCTGTACTGGAAACAAACTCCTTGTGTGTAACATATTTGGCCAATAAAGGTGATTATTATTTACCGATAGATATGTACAATTGACATTTACCTATGTTGGGTAATGTATGATGTGCAATAGACCATGGATTTAAATTACAAGTATTGGATAATGTACAGTAAGCTTTCTCTCTGTATCCATATGTTGTCTTATTACAGATGTTTCTCTGTGTGTAGATGTAGTGTCAGCTGTTACAGATGTTTCTCTCTATACTCAAGATGCTGTGTCAGGTGCTGTACTCCTGTGTGTGTCTGGTGGCTGCCAGCAGCTGTTGTCTGGTCAGTGCCACTGGTCTCTCTCGGGGTCCTCTCTGTCTCTACAACACCACCTCAGGTCTGATCTGGGGAGTTCCCCTGCAGCCCCTCCCTGACTGGTGAGACACTCACAGATGTTCAGAGTCCCCGCTCAGACCCCGTCTGTTTACTCTCACTGTTCTCGTCTCTGTCTCATCTTCAGTCATTCAGGGTACCTGTACAACCGGACTCTGTGGTCGGGAGTGTGTCTGCAGCCTCACGCTGTGGTTCAGTGGAATATGGTTCTGTTCAGTGTCATGGGGGGAACCAGCGGGCTGCAGACTCTCCTCTGTGCAGCCAACATCATCAACTCACTGCTGGGCCTGATCCTGGGTCAGGGCTGCTGCCACAACAAGGTCTGTGTGCTCTGATACTTCTATCTTTGTTTAAATTGAGTGAGTCCGACTCCTGAAAACGTCTTTAAATGAGGTCATTTGGAGAACACGAGGAAAGATGTTTGGCCCTGCCCTCATGTCGTCAATGGTCCGAATGAGGCTCGAGACTTGGCTTCAGGATTAAGCTCAGGGTCAGAGACTGATATCAGAGTGTGGACACAAAAACCTGTTCACATATTGGAGCAAATATTTGGTCTTCACATTTGTTTTACCGTTAAGTATTTCAGTGTTTGTGTATCCAGATGTTCTGTCACTTGTTACAGATGTTAGAATCAGAATATCTGCAGTTTCGCTTTTGGCAAAAAAAAAAAAAATCATCTGTGTTACAGGTCAGTCCAGTGTCAATCTGAGACGGTCTGTTGTGGATTCTCAGTGAGGACTTCAGCGGAGACAAAACCTACTCATAATGTAAAGTTATAACATCTTTTATTCCAACAGGATCTAAGCTACAAACATTTGGAAAGCACTGGCGCACTTTAAACAATAAATTTAATTAAGTCGACCTTAACATCTGCACAGTAAACCAAGTGCAATTATTAGAATGGACATTTTATAGAGAAAAGAGAGGGTTTGCAGTAACACACTTGTTTGTCCCTTAGAAATGAACAATTAAAATTATTGGTCAATCAATTAAATATTTAACACATTGATCAACACAATCCATAGCTGTTAAACTGAAAGTATTAGTAGAAAATTAAGTTACATAACTAGAATTTCATTACAATTTGTATTTACTGGTAAATTCATCATTTTACCAGTTTGTCTTGACAATCAGAAGTTACTATTGTTTTTTCTTAATTTATCCAGGAGTTTATTAAAATGATCATCAGTTTATTAATTTATTAAGTAGCACAAATGGGGCCACAGTATTTGGCTGCAAAACAAGTATGGTTATTGTGTGATTACATTAACAAAAAGCAGCTCAATGTACTGATTATGCCCGTTTGGCCTCACAGATATCACCTCTCCGATTATCAGTAACAAGTGTAAACAGGAAGTCACAGAACGTCTTTGCTTTAACATTTTATTTATTGATACATTTGAACAACAAATGTTTTTGTAAATAAAAGAAAAGCTGCTGTGTGGTCTCCGTGTGTTGCTCACTGCTGAAAGATGTTTTGGGTACTTCCAGACATTTTTAGAAATGAATGCTTATCTGTTAAAATCAGGACAGTTTTGGTGACTTTTCTGGTCATCATTTTATGACGAGTGACAAAGTGATGAAAACACGAGGTCCTTTTCCTGGGCCACTGTCTCCATGTGTCCAGACACTAACATTGCTGCCAATGTGCACACAATTCAGAATATAACAAATAGCACTTATTGCACATGGGATAAATAAATTCTTAACCTGCTGTACAGTCTTACATTAATGCATTGGGATTTACAACGAAGCCCATTACATCTAGTCCAGTCTGGATCCAGTCTCTAACCACCACCTGGGCTCTGGTGGTGTAAGGCCTTTAAAACATTGACCTGATGGAGGTGCAAAATGACGGCACAGACTGTATACAGGGGAAAAACAAAACAAAACAAAACAAAACAAAAAAAAAAACACTAACCCATTGTGATGTCACCCATCAGTCTGCCTGTCGTCATATTGCTAGGTCTAATCCAAAATGGGACAAAGAGGCAGAAGAGTGAGTGGAGCTACCTAGACAGCTAGTGGCCAGAGCCGCCTGTCACTCAAAATGCACAACTTTTAGCCTCAATATAAACAGGTGAATTATATAAAAATTCACCCCCTGTAGAGTTGTCATGGAAGGGGAAATTGGCTAGAAAAACCAAAACTGTTTTTGTACCAGACTGTAAACATGTTTACTTCTTCTGTAAAGTTGGGCCTTTTAACACAGGAGTGTATGGAGACCGACTCCCTTTTGGAGCCAGCCTCTAATGTCCGTTCGAGGTTTTGGCACTTCCGCATTGGCTCTCAGACTCGGAAGACGCGGCTTGGATGTCGGCGGGTGAACATGAATGTCTGAACTGAACTTCATCTCAATTCATCCAGAGCTCAAGTTTTATTTCTACAGCCCAATATCACAACATGCCCTTTAAACTCTGTGTGGCATTTGACTCCCTCTGTCCTTAGACCCTGGAATCGGATCAGGAAAAACTAATCCCAAAAACACTGAGGCAGAGCACCAGAGGAGGAATTCCCTCCTCGGGACAGAGAGAAAGCTGATGTAGAGTACAGAACAGAAAGAGATGGTAAATCCCAATTCCCTTACTTGATCACTCCTCAATCCTCTGACCTTGCTTGACCCAGAAGTCATTCTGGTCCACCATCTTGAAGCTCTTTTCCTGCTCTTGAGGAGCAAGGACGCTACTGGAGGAGCTGTGAGGGCACAAGAAAGCATCCTTCTTTTGTGGACTGACACACCCCTTTACCAGAATCAGTTGGTGACTGGAAACTTCAGTTGAAGGATGTCTCATGTTTATAAATGCATTTCCTTGAGTTCTCTGTCCTCCTATCTTACATGGCCAGGATTGAAACAAGGAAAAGATGCAAGTGAGGGAAATATGGATGCTGTTAAAGAGCCTGTGGGACTTTTCCTTGATTTCTCACTTATCTACAATGTTACAATGGTGAATTCTCATCTTACACGTGACCTAAAACTCAAAAAATGACATATATGCATGTTCTAGTATTTCTATGCAGAAGCAACTCTGCATCTTGCAAACCCTTTTTTTCTAACAAAATGAAAGTATTACGTGCTAGTTTAGGGATTTCCTTGAATGGGCATAAAATCCATCCAGCTGTTGCAAGTTTATATGAGCTTGCCTGACATCCACCTGTACTGGTGTGGATACATTTCACCTCCTGCTGCTGCACTGTGAACAGAGCATGTGGAGGAAAAGTACAGGGCCTGAGGTTACTGCGACACAACAAAACCAGAGATTTGTGACTATTACTGACCACCATGTTAGATCGATTTTGCAGATTTTACCGCCTTCTGATAGTTAAAACAGCGAGTCTCTGTACAGGACCGTTCCCGGACATGCTACAATTAATTCTGTCATTAACCCATGTAACCTTACCTCTCATCCTAAGGCATCTGTTGAAATGTGAGGTTTCCTTCATTACTTTACTAACAAAATTGCTAGCATTAGGCAATTCTCCAGTATCACTTCTTTTGACTAAGCTGACCTTCCCCTGTCTTCTGCTATTTTTGACCAATTTGAGACTGTTCCTTTGCCTGTGTTATCAGAATAACATCAGAATATCAAATGGACTGTAACCCACAATAGTACATAAAGATATAAAAAGACTGCCCCTGCTGTTGCACAAACTTAATACATTCCCCCTTTTTGTTTTGTTATATTACAGGTAAATCTGCTAGTGACTGTTGTGGAAACAACAACAAAAAAAATACCTCTGCTGCTTTACCGTCCGTTATGTTATACTGTATGTAAATCTGCTGACTTTTTTTTTGCCGGGATATCTGCTGCCGGTGGTCATTTGCAGTACTGTCCATGTATACCTCATATGCCATTTGCACCTCATCACCAACACCCTGGTGACGCGGAACCATCTGACAATCTCCCATTAATGTTTGCACTATTATCACTGACTGTACATGGTTTTGAGTCACAGCTTATTGGCTGTACCGTTTAGATTTATCCTAATTATGTCAATCCAGTTCTTATTCGATTCTATTCCATTTTTTAATTCTACTTTGCTCTATTTTACCTCCTAAATGTTACGACACCCAATACTAGGTGGGAGACAAATGGTATTTCGATTTTCTGCATGTCCTGCACATATGGTGAATTGACAATAAAGTCCTTGAACCTTATTTGGCGATCTGGCAAAGTTTGCTGCTTTTAATCACGACTTAGGCCCCCTGGCTCATCATCTGAAGATGACTGTAAAAAACCTAGGGGTAATGTTTGACAACTTAAGATGCAACAAGCAGATCGACTCGGTCGCAAAACCTACTTTCTTTCACCTGAGGTTGTTGAGTAAAGTCAAGCCATTTCTTTCTTTTAATGATTTTGAGATTGCAATTCATGCTTTTATAACCTCTAGACTCGGCTATTGTAATGCATTATACCTTGGTCTTAAATCGGTCGTCTCTCACTCATCTTCAAATGGTCCAAAACAGGTACTAGGAACCATATAACCCCGGTACTGGCCTCCAGTCCATTTTAGAATTCTTTTTAAGCCATTGATTTTTGTTTTTAAGGCTCTTAATGGTTTGGCACTGACCCACCTCGCTGAGTTGATGAGGTGGTGCGAACCTACAAGATTTCTCAGATCATCACATCAGTTTCTTTTAGAGGTTCCCAGGACCGGATACAAATGCTGGGGCGATCGTGCATTTACTGTTGTAGCTACTTAATTGTGGAATGATTTACCTCTTAATGTTAGATCATCTACAGACTTGACAACTTTCAAATCATTGGTTAAAACATATTTATTTACTTTGGCTTTTAATACATAGTATTGTCTGATGCCTTCTTCTTATAACTGTTGATTCTATGTTGTTTTATTCCTCTATTGCTATTTATTTTAGTTCTTACATTGCCCTTGTAAAGTACTTTGGTCAACCAGACATTGTTTTAAAAGTATAAATAAACTTTGATTTGATTTACCTGACCAGGTCTAACCTATGATCATGTGGCGACTCTAAATTTGCCTGTAGGAGTGGGTGTGGCTGTTTGTCTACATGTCAGCCCTGTGATAGAGACCTGTCCAGGGTGGACCCCGCCTCTCCCCCAGTGTCAGATGGGATTGGCTCCAGCACCCCCTCCCATGACCCTATTCAGGATAAGCGATATAGATGATGCATGGATGGTTTAATACTGATTCAAATTTAAGTCCAATTTAACATGTTTTCTTAAGCCAGTTTTTGTTCTAAATGCATCTACTTTCTTTACAATTTTATAGTTTGTTATTCCAATTTAGTGCATAATCTGTGTTGATTTGTATTGACTGTTTATATGCTAATTAGTTTTTATCCCCAGGGCATCCATCTTTAGTTTAGTCTGCAAGGAGTGATGACATCTTGATGCTCTCTACTCATTTTGTCAAAAATAAAAATGTTTATGGTGCAATAGCACATGGTAGAGGCTATTTTTCATGCATATTAATACAGGTGTGCCTTGAGATTCTGGCTTACCCCTTGCTGTGCCTTTGGCACAAAAAGTTTGAGTCACTGCACTAACAGACCTGAGCCATGACTTCCTCTTCACCAGGATCTACTCTCATTTATTTCACTGCACTAAAAAAAGATGAGCGAGAAGCTGGGCAAGTGGCGAGGATAGGTGTGTCAGCATTGATAAGAAAAAAAAAAAAAAGAAAAGTCTAACACCCAATACTAACCAAAATACATCGCGTGTCATTATGGTGTGTTAATTCTGGCCCAAACTTGACAGTGACTAGCAGTGAATGCTCATGCCAACAAGGTAAATAAAAAAGTCTTCTTCTTGCTGGCGTCCACGTCCCCCGATTGTCCCCTGTACATGATTGGTCAATGCAGCGCCTTTGCTAGATGTTATTGTCCAGTGTGGTGAAAGCTGAACCAGATCTAACTTTTTCACCGCATGGGGTGCTGTTGTTTTGCCGGAGCCCCCTGCAGTGCTGCTGCTGGCTGCGGTGAACAGTGAACGCACTGCCCCATTGAAATGAATGGCGAGAACTGCATTTTCCTCACCTTTGAAACTCAGTCTGAATGCAGCTTAACGCAAACCTGATTCTACCCTGAACCCTAAAACTAAGTGTGAAACCTCAAATACCCTGTGAAGACGTGAGGACCAGACAATGGCATCACCCCCCGGACATAAAACTGGCCCTGATGATGCACAAACACAAGATGAGGGCAGCTGGTGTGAAGTGCTGGTCTCTGAGCAGCAGATGTCCTGTTCTCCACAAACCGTTAATAAAGACTTCATTAAATATCAGCTGATGAGGGGTCATAGTAAACTGAGTGAGGGCATTTCTGTTTTACTGTCGGAGGATTCAAACAACACCGAAGAACATTAAAAGCTTCTGAACCAAACAGATCAAGGTAAACATGATTCAAGCTGTTTTTATGTTCAACAAGAAGGCAGATCAAACAGCAGCAGCTTGTCCTCCTGACTGGTCCTCACTCACCATCTCAGTCGGGCAACATGAACCGTTTAATGAAGACTTCAAACTTTTCATCGTCCAGCTGCTGACACTGGTCAGAGTCTCTGTCTCCATCAGAGTCAGCCATTCACATGTCAGACCACAGGATGGCCTTACTGCCTTTCTCCACGCTGGCCACGTATGCTCCTGAAGAAGACCAGGACACCGAGTTGATGGCAGAGCTGCAGACAGAGTGAAAACAGGTAAAGTCTGTGGTGTGCCCTGTGGAGTATCTGAGGTGAAGCGCTGACATCATGTGCAGTGTTTGCAGAGAAACTAATCAGCACACACCTTTGTGCTGTATTTACAGCCTCTAAACCTACAGTAAACTTCTGTTTTAGCAGACACCATCGCCTTGTGCAAGCATCACTGTTCACATATTGACCTGTGTACTCTGCACTGCTGCTACTAGCGCACAGCAGGTCGAGCTGGATGCAAATTTACAGACTGCTGAGAGGCCAGATAGTGACCACCATACTGTATCTGTGAACACATCTCCAAGTACACGCAGAACGTGAGTCTGGAGGGGTCTGCAAAGCCAGGTCTCATTCACAATGAACAGCCGCCACCACTGTCCTGGCTTTTCTGTGTGTGAATGGTCCGTTATACACAAATCGTCAGAGCGACACACCAGGAGTCAGTTGTTCAAAAAGCTTAATCTGGATCAGAATGATCCGGATTTGGAAATCTCGTCTTTCTATCCAGGATCAGGTAATCCAGATTGCCTTTGTACCCGTTTTTCAAAGCAACATTGGAGTGGATCACCCTTATCCTGATACAGACTTTACAAAATTACCAAATCTGGATTACCAGGGCTATAAATGGGACTAAATATCACAGTGTAGGTGATCAGGATCAGCTATGTATGGAACAACAGATAAACTAGTTTTTTTTTAATTAACAGACACCCACCGCACCACTGTCACCTCCTCAAAGCAAACAAGCCGAGTGGAACCAAGCTCCGTCTTCACCACAGCAGCTCACTGAGGCACATGATTGTGTGAAATGATACGCCAAAGGAAAGTCCTTTCACATTCAGCATTCACTTTTTTTTTTTTTATCCCTAATTTCACTGCAGCAAGATTTTAAAAGGGAGTATCTCACTTGTTCTTCTGTTAATAATGCCCAGGACCGATTGCTCCACGTCTGTAAGCTAGCAAAACCACACCAACACCATGAGTTGCATGTTACTTCCCAGATGCTGGTGCCATGCCCACGTCATCAGGATGTGGATGATCAGATGTTTTATGGTGCAGTGGAAACAAAGTGGAGCTGCTTGGCACGGCTCTGCCGCGCACACCTCGATTTTGTTTCTGAAATCGGCCCTGAATCCACAAACAACCCATTTTCAAGATCTGATCCAATTCCATAACCAAAATCAAATCTGATTATTTCTGAACTACAGGGCCCACAGTATCTTAATTTATAAATTCTAACGTAAGCAAACAGAGCTCCTAGTGCCTCATGTCCAGTGGAAGTTCTTTTTATTTTTTATTATTTAACCCTTATTTTACAAGGATGTCCTGGCCAAGATGGCGGCCAAACAAATGTTTTTATTAATGCCCTATCACAATCAACTCAGAGTTAAGGCTGTTTAAAAGACTCATGTTCACATGAAGAGATTACTTACGCAACTGGAATTGTTCCTGAAGCTCTAGACTCAGACTGAACCCCCTCTGCCCCCTGAGCACCATGTTAATTAACTCCACTACATTTGAGCGTCCATGCCTTTGTTTTCGGGTTGCAGTGGTCTGTGTTTGCTCAAAATCATGTGACGCATACAGCGTTCATGCTCAGCTAAGAGTCCGTATGAAGACTTGTTAACTTTCTGACTGAGACCACAGTTTTGCATGTTATTGAACTGGCAGACTGCTCTGAGATCAGTCTGGTTCTTACTTGTGGTTTCGGTCCAGAGCTCTGTCCACCTTCCCCGTCAGGACGTTCCAGATGTACAGAACTCCATCAGCTGACCCTCCCGCCACGTAGCTACCATCAGGACTGAAAACAAATGGCAGCAACAGGTCAGGCGAGTTCGCCACAGTCATTTTTAACCAGCTACACAGTTTGTTCGAGACTCATTCTAAACAAAGATGTTCTATCTGAAAATAGGAAATGTGTACTGAACACACCTGAAAGTGACTCTTGTCCAGTCAGCTCCACACTTGAAACCCTGAGCGCTGACCCCACAAACACACACAGTTAGTGCACATAAACCAAAACAAACCACTGTAGTACTACTGTGAAATACTGGTTATCTTAAAAACAAACTGTCAGTCCGGAGACCGCTGTGTTAAAACCATTTATGATGTATATGGGCAGATGTGACCCGAGTGGGTTTAGCGGTCGAAAGACAGGCTTAGAAACACCTGAACGTCTGTCTGACAGCGTTGGAACGCAGGTCGATGATCTTGATCAGGTCATCTCTGGAGCAGGTGAGCAACTCAGTGCGGTCATGATTCAGGTCCAGAGACGTCACCCTGCCCAGCAGCTCCAGCTCCTGCACTATACTCTCCGCTCTAACACCAAAGACGTCACACACACAGACTGTCAGTACTGTTGTCACATTCTTACATTTTAAGATGTAGAAATAAAGATGGGTTTAAAATAGAAAACAGTCACCTGATGTCCCAGAATCGAACTTTCTTATCAAAGTGCCCGCTCATGACACACTGTTCTGTACACACAATGTCGTTACAGCTGGAACCAGCAAACACCGTCTTCATGCCTGCACAGGTGACACAGCAGGTGACCACAGACTGAACACAGTCAACAGGTGACAGTGTAAAACCACTCATTGTGCTAACTGGCAGTGAAACCAGAATCAAACCAGGAAAACAAGAGTAGCAGCATAAACCAAGACCACAGCTCCACACAAACACAACTTCCACAAGCACACAGATCACCTGTGCTGCTAACCAGCACATATATAAATAAAAGACCACGTACAAACTTTGCTGCGGAGGTCCCACAGTTTGAGCGTCCGGTCGTAGCTTCCAGAGACGATTCGAGCATTGTCCAATAGAAAGCGAGCTGACAGCACCTTCCCACTGTGACCTGTCAGGGTGTGCTGGACACACACACACAGAATATGAAACATGTTTGTTCACAGATCAGGTATAATACATGGAGATGACTGAAACGCCCCTTCTGACTTAATACTGGGCTCTGCCAACCTCACTGATAATTGTGTTATGAGCCTAAGAATATAACCATCCACCCATTTTCCTCCGCTTATCTGGGACAGGGTCGCGGGGGCAGCAGTCTGAGCAAAGATGCCCAGACTTCCCTCTCTCCAGACACTTCCTCCAGCTCCTCCGGGGGAAGGCCGAGGCGTTCCCAGGCCAGCCGAGAGACATAGTCCCCCCAGCGTGTCCTGGGCCTTCCCCAGGGAATCCTCCC